TACATCTAATGGCACCCTAATGACCTTGGGGTCACGATGGGCGTACGGTAGGCTTCCAAAAAGCGCACAGAATTTTAAAGTACATAGCAGAGAGTATTTAGCAGACATGGCAAACGGCCGGGCCGCCGGCTTTTTTCGGCCGGAAAAATTAGAATGCGGCCGAGCCGCGCGGCTTAGCCGGAGCTTCCGGTCCGGCCCCGGCTTTTTTATGTTTTGAGGCCGGAGCCCCGGCCAAGCCGCCGGCTTTTGAAAAGCCGGAAAGCCGGACCCAAATGAGATTTTCGCGTTTCCGGTACGCAAATTGCGGATTCAATCAATAATTAGCTTTATGGCAAGAGAAAAACCACTCCGCCATTGAAATTTGGTCATTTCCATTCACAATTTTGCATAGGATACACGGATTCTATAAGTAAATGAACAACTTCCGGTTTCCCGGCTCGGCCGGACCGGCTTGGCCGGGCCGCAACAAAAAGCCGGCTGGGCCGGGAAGCCGGGTTTCCGGAAGTAAGTCATTAACGCGGCTCGTAGGGGGCCGGGTTTTTATGGAAATTAGGCCGGCGGCTCGGCCGTGCGGCTGGGCCGGCCGGGATTGCCATGTCTGGTATTTAGACAGTAACCCACCCGACGGCTGGTCCCGCAGCGGCTGCAGGAAGGGCTGACGGACGTAGATCGGTTTTCCGAAGACGAAAACGCGCGCTACTGGCGTGTTGTTCGGAGGAAAAGAGAATTCTCCCTAAATTTAAGATAAAGTTGATATAAAATTTTAATCCATAAAATTACTAGACTGTTCGTACCGGGACCATTTTCTTCTCGCTCATCTTCGGAGACGTGCTGGCCATGGCGACGAGCACGGCCAAGGAGGCAAATATCCGAGCCATCTAGAATTAGGGATAGAGAGAGGGAGAGCTACAGAGAAAGAGAGTGCGCGATATAGAGAGATAGAGGGAGCGAGCAAGATAGAGAGATAAAGAAAGAGCGCGAGAGCTAGGGAGATAAATACGAAGGGATCGTGAGAGAGAAAACACCAAAAAACTATCGGAAATTATACACCAAAAATACTTAACTCAGAAAAGGAGTATTATTAGGTTGGACCGAAAGTAATTGTAATATTTCGATTGTAAAAATTTTATGGAAGCCACAATTCGTTCATTCTAATTTTTTGCTATGATGGAGGGTTAAGTCTTGTCCAGTTTCAGTTTTATTTTTAACTCGGGACTGCCACAAATTTTTTAGTTAGCTGGAGAAGATCGAGCGCAATCCAGATTCCGGGTTATTGGTTTCCGTGAAGGATCTCGCCGGCCGTTCCGATCCTAGTGGTCTGAATAAGTGATAGTAGATAGAGAAAAATTTGGGCTATGCAGTGCAGTAAAGAAAATTTTAATAGTTAGCTGCATTATTTTTTCCCAGGTCAATTTTAAAAGATGTCAATCTGGGTTTTCGGGCTACGAATCGACATATTCCTTTGTCGGCCGTTTTCTCCGAGTTTAGTGGATAACTTTTTGAGTGGACTCTATCAAAATGAAGCTTAATGAAAGCTGTTTTATGTCCGTAGATCACCTAAGAACAAATGTTATGTCTCCGTCTGGAATTGAGAAATGAAACGTAATTTTGAGCACATTTTGGTTTTATTTTTTTTCTCCGCGAAAGAATGGGTTTAGGGTATTGGTAATTTTACTACAGTATCTACTGTGGATGAAAAATAGTACTGCACTATAGAAAAACCTTGATTGGCAAAGTTGAAAGAGTAGCAATGCAAATTGTGTGTCGCCAGCCATTCTCCGGGTCGGTCACTTGGTGCCTCACTAATTTGCAAAATTTGTTCAGATAAAGAAGGGTGGGGAAAATAGCTGGGATTAGTATTATGTTTGTCAATAAAAACTGCCTATGATAAACAGATCAGATTTAATTTCATTATCCTCAATAAATTTAAGGGAGCCTTTTAGTTAAGCTCTCCGAAAAGTCGGATTTTTATCCAAACAAATGAGAATATCGGCCGACTGTAAATCCGTTAGCTGAATTGGGCACCATAGTCAGAAAGATATTAAACTGGCATTATACAATAAAAATTACGCTTGGGGGATTCCGACACTAACAGTTGTTATAAGGCTGGAAAGAAAGAGGCATCCCGGATGCCGCCGCTACGGGTCGACCGGTGCCACCGACTAAATAAATTATAAAAAAAGTTGTAGAGCTAGGATTCGCGCGATATTTTTAGGCGATATAGTACTGTGCTAGACCAAACAGAAAATTAAAAAAAACAGTCAGCTACTTGGTGGACTTACTAGAAATATTGACCCGAAAATCTATTACAATTACTTTCGGTCCAACCTAATATATTTATATAATGTAAGAATTTGGCTGTCGGGATTTCGGCTTTTGGAATTTAGCTATTGGGATTTTTGCCGGGTTTTTCCTGTGTGGATTTCGATTGTCGGGATATAAAATGTGGGGTTTGGTCTCAAATATCTATTCTACCGTAACCCATCAAAAGCATCAAGCGCCCGAAAATTTTCAAATAGTCAATGGGCGGACACAGGCCTTTTTGTGTCGGGATCCAAACTGTAGGGTTTGTGGCCTGTCGAGGTTTTGGCTGTCGGGATTTTGCTCAAGCTCTACCGTAACCCAATGCGCCCCAAGCGGTCAAAAAGTATTCCCATGGGCAACAAGCAAACGCGCTGACCGCGAAAATGCATGCTCCTTTCCGTTTGTGCCGAGACCGGAGTGGTGGGCAATGAATGACAGGATGGCAGAGAGAGGAGTCGAAGGGAATGGAAGGGAAATTAGGGCCGTTGTCAGGAGCCGAGCGGAGCAGCCACAAGGTCAGCGGGGGCGGACGGGGAATTTCCCCCGCAGGGCACAGTAGGGAAAAGCGAACCGAAAAAACCAACTTGTCGAGAGTACGCGACACGCCTCTGGACATTACATTGTCCTAGCTATGAGGAGAGAGAGAGAGCGAGAGAGAGCGAGAGAGAGAGAAAAAGAGAGACGGCTCTTTGTTTTTCTCAACATCGAGTAGATGATGAACGCGGAATTGGAGATGTAATCAAAGGGCTGCGAAGGGAGTATTTGGAAACATGTCAAGCTTTTAAAGCAGCAAGAGCTTCGTAATTACTGCTTTCACGTCATCTTCAAGCAGTTCGAATACTCGGTTCTATAGATAATCAAATTCTAAGCATAACCTAGTGGACTAAAATAGTCTTGAAACCGCCAGGCCCATCATTTTCAAGCAGTTCAGCAAGCTTATTTTGTCCATAAATAGATACTCCGTCTAACCTATTTTATCCGAAACTCTTTTTTTTTTGAATCCGTCCTATTATCAAAAAGTCTGAACGACGAACTTGATCCTATCAGGTTATCATCAAGCAGTTCAGCTACGTAATTTCATAAAGCATCAATTTCTGAGAAAATAAGGAAAAAATTAGAATTGACGAGGGTTCGTTGCTGGCATCTAATCATTTCTCTCTGTCTCTCTTTCTCTCTCTCTCTCTCTCTCTCTCTCTCTCTCGTCCGCGTACAATACAGCGTTTTTCCGCACAAGTACGGGGTGCTCTCCTAGGGTTGGAGGCAGAGCCGTAGATGCTAATCTTCGACTAGACTGTACAAGGAGGAGGCTAGGAAAAAGGGTAAAGATACTTTAAAGAGGCCAGAGTCATAGTTTTGACTAGCAAGACGACGAGGCCTAAGAAAGGTCTAAGCAAAGCCTAAGCCTAAGCCTCAGCCTAGGCGTAAACTACATAACCTTGAGACCAAAATCCCTCTTAAAATCAATACTTATCATAAATATGCAAAGTGGAAGGTGAAGCAGTTGGGTTCCATCTGGCACGCCGGGGGCTTAAGCCGATCTGGGGCTCCTCCCGGGCGAGTCTCACTCTTTTTCGTGTCTGCTTTTCGACTCCTAAGGCAACTGGTTCTCCCCCTCGCCTCTCCTCGCATTGAGCCCTCGGGCCGAAATGGCGAGTACCGTCAACCCTGCCTTAGACTTTTTCATTGCTTCTCCAAATGCCCTCTGGGGGTTAATAGGATTTCTGCTCCGTTTGGCGAAGGCCTTGATTCAATCTACATACAAGAGAGAGAGTGAGAGAGCCGAGAGAAAGGGAGAGAGAGGGAGAGAGGGAAAGAGAGAAGAAAATCTAGAAGTAATCTTAAAAATTCGAGTTAAAGGGGCTTGAAACTTTGCTCAGGGCTGGCTCTCCAGTTTCCCTCTTTTAATCTCGTGCACTCTCTCCCCTCTCTCTCACTTTCTCTCTTTCTCTTGCCCTCTCTCTTCCTCGTTCTCTCCACGCGCTTTTGCTCTATCTGTTCTCTCGTTCTCTCGCTAGCGAAGTATTTGAGCAAGGTTCAAATTTACTGAGTCCAGGGATTTTTCAGCGAGACGAGCGAGCTATAGAGAGAGAGAGAAACACAGAGAGAGAGAGAGAGAGAGAGAGAGAGAGAGAGAGAGCAAGAGAAAGAGCGCGAGAGAGCGAGAGAAAGCGAGAGAAAGCGAGAGCAAAACTTTACTCTACAACTAAACTATATAAATACCATGCTGCCATTTCCACTTGCAAATCAACCCAACCGAATTGGACCGAGAAGCCATCATTTTTAAATTGCCCCTTTCCCGCCGGGCGGACCTAATCTTGAAACCGAGAACTTACAATCTGGAAGGTGAACGCTGGGTCCGTTTCGATACTATAATCACTACACGCTGGTCCGGGACCCTGGAAGCCAGCAGCTTCCAAAGGGGTTTCGCCTGGAAGCCCGGGTGAAAAACTGGAAAATTGGTTCAAACTGACCGGAGATGGGGCTCTGGTGGTGGGAAGTTGGCTTCCTAGTCTCTTTAAAGAAGAAAAGAAGCAACTCGCAAAATCGGGGCAGGAGTGCTAGCAGAAATTTTGTGGAAAATCGGAGAAACCTCAAAAATTGGGGAGAAACTGTTGCTTTCCAATGGAGCGCCAGGCTTAAAAGGCGCTCGAGGGGCACGGTAATTTCCCTTACTCTCTCTCTCTCTCTCTCTCTCTCTCTCTCTCTCTCTCTCTCTCTTCAAACGAACAATGGCGGATTTTACTTGCCGCACCATCCCGAAGGCATCGGGCAGACGCGTTTTTGCGCTCGAATAAGCAATTTTGGGGGAAAGGGAAAAGACAGTAGCGTTGTCCTCTCTCTCTCTCTCTCTCTCTCTCTCTCTCTCTGTCGCTCTCTAGTGTATCTTTGCATTAGTGCTGCAGCGGTCGAGAGTAACTGTCTGTCTGTACCTGACGAAAAGCGGGTGTACTAGAAAAGGGCGGGGATTGAAGTTTTAAAGGATCTTGTACTCTCTCTCTATCTCTTTCTCTCTCTCTTTCCTTCCCCTTAAATCGTGCCAATACCAAAACCCCACGAACTCATCTAGAAATCTCAACTTTTGGCCGTACCAATGACCAGACCCTAAATTGCATCTGCGGATCATTGTTTAGCCATTCAGGCAAAATTCTAAAAGGTGTATCAAGACTATAACGGGTTGAACGTGCCGAAAGTGTTCAGCATCTGGAACACCTGGAGATGAACAAAAAATGGGTTTGGGAAGTTGGTTGGGATTCAGGAAAAAAGGGGTATCGCTCTGTCTCTCTCTCTGTCTCTCTCCTCTCCACTCTATATAACTCTCTCCCATTCTCTCTTTTCCTCTCTCTCTCGCTCACCCTCTCTCTCTCTCTCTTTTGCGCTCTCTCACGCCCTATCTCTCTTTCACTCTCTCGCTCGCTCCCTCTCTCACCCTCTCTCTCTCTCTCTCTCTCTCTCTCTCTCTCTCTCTGGCTCTCTCTCTCTCTCTCTCTCTCTCTCTCTCTCTTTCTCTCTGGATCTCATTCCTTAAGGCGCACTC